ATAATGGTGAAATGATGAAGGATGACTTGAGAATTTGTTGAATGAGGAGAAGAAGGGAAAAACTGGAACGAACAGAAACCAACTCTCGCCCAAACCCTTCACCCCGGGCCCTTCTCCTCTTCTCCTAGCTCAGACACCAGCCCACGATGCCCTTCTTCTCCAGATGCTCCAGAGATTATTCCCTCGACAAAACAATCCTATTGATTAGATGACAGTAATAAATATTCAATAATTCCATCCGTGGACCCTAGGATTGCCCACCATGGTCGACATCGACCTGTCTGCTGATGGCCTTGCTGGCTTCGACTTCGACCAAAGAGGCCTGCGATACCCTTACACACCGCGAGTAAGCTGGCCCATCACCATCCCGCCCGACCCAAATGCCTCACGGTCCGCACCGCATCACCAAAGCGCCAACACCAACCCCTCGAATATCATGAAGCGGTCAACGACTCCACTCCAAAGTCTAACGCAAACGTACGACCAGCCGATAAGTCCATCTCAAAGCTATATACCAGACTGGCGGCTCCCCCAGCAGTCTCAAGCCCCACAATTTGCCTATCCTTTGGACACCTATCCTCAGCCGTTTGGCGCCGACGCGGCATACGCAATGCCCTACCAGACATCACCGACGGATTACGTCCCTCAACTGCAGTATGACTCGAGTACCTATCTTCCCATCGCAGGCCAGATGGACGGCAGCATACCGTTTAATTGGCAAGATATCTCCAACGATCTGATGAATTATCCCATGTCGAACGGCCTACCAGACATGAACTTGCCCTATCAGAATCTACCAAACTCTCCCACGGATGCGTCTCTGGAGGTTCGATCTCTTTCGAGTAGCGATAACGGTTGGAACTCGGTAGAATACCACCATCAAACTCTGGACGGATCATACCAAGACTTGCACACTGGGAACATCTTCAACCCTGAACAGACACTCCATGGGCGGACATTCTCCGACTCGTCCTACTCAGACGTGGAACGGCAATCCCGCCAATCGTGGGGTAGCTATGTCAATTTACCGCAACATGCAATCGGTTCACCCTCCAGCGACCGCTCGGCGAGTCTGAGTGATATAGAGTTTCACCACGATCATACGGACTTTCTGGTGGGATCGCCACCCATCAAGCAAGAGCAAGAACAGCACACTCGATCGACCATCGTCACGTCGTCAAACGTCAAGCCCATCAGAATTAAGACCTCCTCGTCTCCGCAGCGGTCTCCAACCTCGACTGGAAGGGTCTCTCCTCCGGGAAGGCGTCAAGCAGTCAAAAAGAACTCGAATAGCAAAGCGACAAAGCCAACAATACGGAGGCAGCCGCAGGCTCCTAAAGTTGATACAGAGAAGCGTGTAGGACGGAGGAAAGGTCCATTGCGACCGGAGCAAAGGAAACAGGCATGCGAGATCAGGAAGCTGGGAGCTTGTATCCGCTGCAAGTTCCTCAAGAAGACAGTAAGTGCACTCAAGCTCGTGAAGATTCGCAGCGACTGACGATGCTCAAGTGTGACACTGGAGAGCCTTGCGAAGGATGCCAACCCTCGCACGCCCGCTTATGGCAAGTTCCTTGCACTCGAATCGATATAAAAGAGGTCGCCTACTTCATGAAGGATTGGAGGGCGGACTACGAGCGTCATGTCAGTCTCGGATTCTCCATCTGCAACATCAAAGGCTTTGCGGAGCAGGAGCGGACTCTGTTCATCACCCATGGCTACGGCCACATGCTGCCAGTCCGTGCTCGTGAAGTTTTCGTCCGTGATGAAAGTTGCTTTGGTTTGGACTGGGTGGAGACAGTATCAGATTTTCCTTCCGAGTACTCCGTGAACACTGCGAAGCTTTCTGCCGGCGTAGAAGGGATTCCTGCGGCCATCTTGTCAGAGTACCTCGACAATCACATCGACGGCGGCTTTGTGGAGTTCGTGGATGAGTATTTCGACGGCACTCCATTCCTTACCCAGATGCTCAAGACAGCCTATCGGTATTGGTATCGTGAGAGGACTCCAGTCATCCGGAAGTGCTTGAAGTTGCTGATTGCCTACAACCTCACTCAGCATGTGACCATGGTCGAGGGCATACCAGAGGAAGAAGGCTTTCTTGGCAAAATCACCGATGGCACTTCCAAGTTCTATGGCAAGACTGTTGCTCCAGTCATGATCAACTTCCAGATCAAGGATGCCATGGCGACGATGTGGCGAGAATTACAAAAGGAAGTTCTGGAAGAATTATCCCATCTGTACTCGAGTGTGTACACAAAGGAAAGGCTCAGACACTGGCCCACTATCTTTATGGTGGCTGCGATCTTGCTCTCCGTGTGGGAAGAGATGCAATTTGATTGCCATTACCGGATTCCTGTAAGCTCATCCCATCCTTCACTACTCTTTTCAACACCGCTGACCCCAATCAGGACAAGGAGGTTGTCAGCAAGTTTTGCCACGACATGGAATCCACACCCGTTGGGGTCATTGTTGGCCTCTTCTCCGCTATATCCCAGAAGTTGCCGGCATTCCAAGAATGGGAAACTCGAAAGCATCACCATCTATTGAACTCGAACCAAGCCGTATGCGAAGCCTTGACGGAAGTCCGCCAGCATGTAACGCGTCATGGTGTGTACTCCTAGCTCAGTGCTAGCATTGTGGAATTGCTGACAATCCATCTAGACAGTTATTTACGATCTCGATGTGATACGACTTTTGACCGCGATGACTTTGACTCTTTGTGTGGTAAATTCACTTCGAAACTTGTCATCCGTGCTTCTGCCTGCTAGGCAACACCTTATTACGATGATATACTACGGTGTCACGACGGAAATGCAATGACAAGGAGTTTTCCTTTACGATTTTGCATGCAGATGGAATATTTCTGTCAGTGATGATGATGTTGCAATATATGCAGAACGGATGTACCACCATCTCACGACATCTACAGCGATCTAGACGCTTTATGATCATGGAGTCATGGTAAATATGGAAGCTATCCGCATTTACGCCCGGTTTCCTTTTGAGTAGCAGCTTTCTTCCCAGAGCCCCGTGGCTTTAGGCCGCGGGGGCCCAGTCCTAGCCAAGCACATACTGGAGACTTCTTGCAGAACAAGGAGCGCCAGTGTACTTTTAGGCAAATCTATCGTTCCTGAAAGCACCTGTCTACCTAGCCGTAGAGTGAGAGAAACAGTGAGTGTCGTAGCTGGCAAGACATACGAAAGCGAGGACCTGACCAACCGCATACCAAGGCAGCCAAATCAACAGTATCATCGATCAATCAGGGTTGTTATCGACTTAGATCAAGGTGGATTTCCGAGAACAATGGTCAAGTGAAGTTGGGAATGAAAAACTTGCATGGAAGATTCTCGCCACTTCCAGCCGCCTCGAGCTTTGACACTTCCGCTAGCGCCAAGGCTGTGTCATCCGCCTCAACTACAAAACCGCTTCTTCCGCCATACTTCCTTTCTTACTACTTACATCTACCTTTCTTCACAACATCCATCGGATTCACGTACAATCACCGCTCACACTCACTCCAAAACTCATCTACCATCAACCAGACTTCAACTACATACTTCAGCATCTATCAACATGCAAATCTTCGTCAAGACTCGTAAGTTGACCCCACATTGAAGCTGCTGCCTCATCGCTTTACTTTTATCTACTAACACAGCTTTCAGTCACCGGCAAGACCATCACCCTCGAGGTCGAGTCTAGCGATACTATCGATAACGTAAAGGCAAAGATTCAAGACAAGGAAGGCATTCCTCCGGACCAACAGCGTCTCATCTTCGCTGGAAAGCAATTGGAGGACGGCCGCACTCTTTCCGACTACAACATTCAGAAGGAGTCAACCCTCCACTTGGTTCTCCGTCTGCGTGGAGGCATGCAAATTTGTGGGTCATCACTGCTCTACTTGATCCATTCCAACGCTAACACATTTACAGTCGTCAAGACTCTCACCGGTAAGACCATCACTTTGGAGGTCGAGTCCTCGGACACCATCGACAATGTAAAGGCCAAGATCCAGGACAAGGAGGGTATCCCACCGGACCAGCAGCGTCTAATCTTCGCCGGCAAGCAGCTCGAAGATGGTCGCACTCTATCTGACTACAACATCCAAAAAGAATCTACTCTCCATCTCGTCCTCCGTCTCCGCGGTGGTATGCAAATCTTCGTCAAGACTCTCACCGGCAAGACTATCACACTCGAAGTTGAGTCCTCAGACACCATCGATAACGTTAAAGCCAAGATCCAGGATAAAGAGGGTATCCCACCGGACCAGCAGCGATTGATCTTTGCCGGCAAGCAGCTCGAGGATGGCCGTACCCTATCAGACTACAACATCCAGAAAGAGTCTACACTACACTTGGTCCTGCGGTTACGAGGTGGGATGCAGATCTTCGTCAAGACTCTGACTGGGAAGACCATCACATTGGAAGTTGAGTCATCAGATACCATTGACAATGTCAAAGCGAAGATCCAAGACAAGGAGGGTATTCCACCGGACCAGCAACGCTTGATCTTTGCTGGTAAGCAATTGGAGGATGGCCGTACTTTGTCAGACTACAACATCCAGAAGGAGAGCACCCTGCATTTGGTTCTGAGACTTCGCGGTGGACAATAGGTGTGAGCTGTCTATTTTCGAGGACTGGGTTTGCTTTGAGTTGTCATGATGTTCATTAGCGGGAGTTTTTGCAGGTTCATCTTATGAAGATCATGTCGATGGTGATTGCTCTCGTGGCAGTAGCATTATGTAGCTCAGATTAGTATCAAATACTTCTGGGGCTACAAACCTTTTCTCTGTCTCTATGGTGTGATTGTGAAATGTAAGCTGTAGTACAGCGTATCTATCATAGCATATGGACCTCGCAAAAAGCGTCTGTTTGTCGTTTAGCAAGCACTTGCCAACGTGACATGCTCGCTTTCCATAATCATCCTTAATACCCGTCACTCTTAGAATAAAGGAAGCATTTGCAGAAAGGTGACGAAGATGATACTACAGAAGCAGAATGCCAATGCCTTCGTTCTTCTTCTATATCGCCTTCGACCTTGACGCCCCGGCGTCCCTATTGACAAGTCGTGCCCAACCAGCCCCTTGGAAACAAGAGCAGCGTAATTACGGACACTTTGCAGCGAAAGCGGTCATATCAAATTCAGATGCTGAAGGAGGACAGCCTACGGTTACAAGTAATCATAGCAGTGGCAGTGAGAAGCAGGAGCCAACAGCCTTACACCCAGTATCTCGGGATTGGAGGTACGACAGAATATCAATTCAAGATATCACCATGGCATCTCTGGCAAACTCAGACAAGCACGAACCTAGTGAAAATACGAGCACAAAGATCACGAACGGTATCAGCGCCGGTCCCGGTGGTCTAGCTACAAAGGGTAGATACGAGCCTTGTGATCCTGATCAAGAGGAGCTGGGATGTGGTGTAGTACGCTTATACCGAGACTCTGAAGAAACACCTGGTCTCTACGATGAGCCTACAACCCCCAAGCACTCAAAGCCTGGGAAAAGCCTATCCAGGAAAGAGAATAATGAACAGCCAGCCTTTCGAGACGAGGACTGCACCACGCTCTGCATACTTGCTGTACCCTCATACCTCACGCCATCAGACTTCTTAGGCTTCGTTGGGGAAAAGACGAGGGATGTCGTCAGCCATTTTCGAATGATTAGGACGGAAAGGGGGAATAGGTACATGGTACTTATGAAGTTCAGGAATGGTAAGAAGGCTAGAGAGTGGAGGAGAGAATGGAATGGCAAGGCTTTTGATGGCATGGAGGTAGGCTTTTTTTGTGGATATCGCTTGCTAGAGCTGATAGTATGAAGCCTGAGAATTGCCACGTAGTCTTCGTCAAGTCTATCGAATTCCGGACACACGAGACACCAGGTCAAGAAGCCTCCTTCCCAGACATGACCAATGACCCTTTTACACCATCCGTCACGAAGCAACTACCTTCTACCTCCACATCTTCGACCCTTCAAACAGCTCCCATCTCATCAACCTCACGATCCTCCAAACCCCACGCCCCACCCACTCCGTCTTTGGTCGAATTACCCACCTGCCCTGTCTGCCTCGAACGCATGGACGAATCCACAGGTCTCCTCACAATTCTCTGTCAGCATGTCTTCCACTGCTCTTGTCTTCAAAAGTGGCGTGGATCAGGCTGTCCCGTATGCCGCTACACCCAAGACGATCTCGGTCTCGGAAAAAGGATATACAACAGCACGAGCTCGGGAGAAGATGTCAGCCTCAACGAATGCAGTATCTGCCGCTCGGATGCTAACCTGTGGATCTGCCTCATCTGCGGCAATGTAGGCTGCGGGAGATACGATGCTGCTCACGCCTTCAGCCATTATGAGCAATCACAGCATTGTTTTGCCATGGACATGACGACCCAACGGGTGTGGGATTATGCCACCGATGGCTACGTTCATCGTATCGTCCAGAATAAAACAGATGGGAAATTCGTGGAGCTCACACCGTCTTCCACACAGACACCACAGCCGCACGACGATGATTTCGACGACTACGTACCTCGAGAGAAAATGGACAGCATTGGTTTAGAGTATACACATCTACTAACAAGCCAGCTTGACAGCCAACGCTTGTACTTTGAGGAAATTCTCGAGCGTGCAGCCGACAAGGCATCCCAAGCCGCCCAGTCCGCCGAGAGAGCTACAGAAGCATCTGTCAAGAACGCAGTACAACTCGCTACATTACAAGCATCACACGACACCCTTGCTGACGAGACGATACCAGCACTTGAGAAAGACCGTGATCGAGCAACGAGAAAGGCAGAGAAATTTGAAGCCATGGCTCGCAAGCTGGAGAAGGAGTGGCGGGATGAAAAAGCTATGAATGAATCTCTCATGACACGCATCACCCACCTAGGTAATCAGCTGGAGGCAGTAAAGAGAGAGAAAGCGGAGCTCGAAGAGCAGAACAGGGACCTGGGCTTCTTCATCAGTGGGATGGAGAAGCTGAAGACTGTCGGTGTCGACGAGGAAGATGTTAGGGAGGGCACCGTCAGTTTGCCGGGGGTTGGGGAGGAGGTGAAGGGCAAAGGAAAGAAGAAGGTTGGTGGGAAGGGGAAGAAGTGAGCATGGTCATTTTGGGGAGCATTTAGCGATTGGCGTACTCGGTACACAGGTTTCTAATTGAAGCATGCATTACAGGCGTGAGTGCATCGGCATGGATGATACCCAAGTATGCTTATACATAGCTTGTCATTTCACAAACTACTCCTACCACTCCTATTGCTCTTGCTCTTGTTAGCAAGTAGAGTATTGTGAACGTCAAATGATGCCTCGTCGTCGCCAAAATGGCATTGCCGAAGGGAATTTGCGGCTAACAATCCGTGGATGACGTCGAACTCCAAGCTCTCAGAGCTCCCTGATGTCCCCAACACACACTTTCTTTTCCTGCCAACATTTACAACATTTACTATAGTTCAATTGATCTGCAAATACCTACGCCGTAGCCTCAACAGTACACACATCATCAGCTTAACATGTCTACCACCCTCCTCCGCCAATCCACCGTCCGGAGCGGCCTCCGCAACTTCACCACCATCTCCAAGATTGCCCGCCCAGCAACCATACCCTCCTTCTCCCGCGGCAAAGCCACCCTCCCAGATCTACCATGTGCGCTACTTCTTTCAAACCACCCTTCAAGCTTTCTATCCGGCACCTAACCTCACGATAGATGACTATGGCGCTCTCGAGCCCTCCATCTCCGGCCAAATCATGGAGCTTCACCATAGCAAACACCACCAAACCTACGTAAACTCCTATAACAATTTCACCGAGCAACTCGCCTCCGCCACCTCTTCCTCCGACCCTGCAGCACAAATCGCTCTGCAACCCCTCATCAACTTCCACGGTGGTGGGCACATCAACCACTCGCTCTTCTGGGAGAACCTGGCCCCTAAGTCCTCCGGCGGTGGTGAGCCACCAAGTGGTAAGCTGGGAAATGCGATTGATCAGGCGTATGGGAGTTTGGACAACTTGAAGAAGATTATGAATACGAAATTGGCAGGCATTCAGGGCAGTGGGTGGGCTTGGTTGGTCAAGGATACTGAGACGGGAGCGCTGCAGGTGAGGACGTATGCAAACCAAGACCCAGTGGTTGGGCAGTTCAAGCCGGTTCTGGGCATTGATGCGTGGGAGCATGCGTATTAGTATGTGTTATTTCTCCTTATTCTTAGCCGCTGGTGCAGTGGGGGGTTTCATAAGGAAAGACTGCTAATTGGTCGTACAGTCTGCAATACCAGAATCGCAAAGCCGAGTACTTCGGCGCTATCTGGGACGTCATCAACTGGAAGACAGCCGAGAAGCGGTTCGAGTAAGTCGGTGAAGCGTTTGCACCCTACTTAGTATCTACGAGAGTGGGGGATTGGTCGTAGTCGCCACCAATTCTCTCGAATGTCGCCAAATCTTCTCCAATCAAGTTCTCCTTTCCGCCAAGATTTCTCTCTCATTCTGTGAGCAAAATTTCAAGCCGAAGACTCCCGTATCTATATATATACGTACCCTCAGATTTCCTGAGCTCTCTCTTCTTCAGAACCTCTCCTTACCACCAAGAACCAATTTCAGAGAACCTCTTACAGTCCCACTGCCACAAACAGACAAACATCTTTACGGGCTATTCAACATCTACCATTGCACACAATAGCGCGGTAATAACCATACTTGACGGTTCTTCACCGCTACAGCCACCACAAGTTCCCGGACTCCTACCGCAAGAACATACCACGGACCGTCCTCACATCGCAAACATGAACTTCTCGGAGCCAGGTTGCGCCACCACCACTACCACCACCAACGGCAGCACACCCCTCCATCTCGCTCGCTCACTCTTCTCCGACATGGCCTACCCCACGACAATCTCGGATTTCATCAGCCATCTAACCGCCATCCACGACGCAGCCTACCTCCTTCTGCTCCCGCAAACATGCCGCGCGGAGGTGGCAATCCACCAAGCCGAGACGACGCGCATATCGACCGGACCCCTCGGAGAAGCCGTCTTGCAAGCAACGACCCTCTTCCTCCTCAACACCTGCCGCCGGGACCCGGCCGGCGACGATGCGGCAACCACGCCGATCCAGCACCGAGACATGTACGAAGCGACCGGCTGCATGCTGCTGGCCCTAGCCGCGGAGGAGTCGCGCTACCTGAGCAACCTGACGCTCCTACTGGCCGACATGAAGCGAAAATGGAAGGTCGACCTGATCGAAACGGGCAGGTTCGTAACCCTCTTCACCCGCCCCCCCCACACCTTCCTCCCGCCAACGTCTTCCCCGGATCCAAAACCCGTACTAACGCACGCGCACCCAGCTGGCACCGCACGGCCCGCACCATGGGCAAATCGGGCATCGCATCCGCCCAGGCGCTCTCCGACTTGGTCGCCGGCCGCGCCACTGCGCCATACCACGGGAGATACTTGACTGAGATCGCGCAGCACTGGAGGAAATGGGCGGGGGCGGGGGAGGCGAGGGTGTACGAGGAGGTGTGGAGTTATGTCGCCGGACGGGCGTTGGTGCAGGAGTAAGGAGGGGGGATGGATGGGGGGAGTTTTTGGGGCATCGGGATGGGCGTTGCGGCCTACGGGGTGGATGTTTTCTTGGGAGTTTTGATGTTTGGATATGGGCATTGTGGCCTACAGGGTGGACATTTTTCTCAGGAGTTTGATGTTTGGATATGGGCATTGCGGCCTACAGGGTGGACATCTTCTTGGGAGTTTTGATGTCTGGATATGGGGTATTGTGAAGGGCATTGCGGCCTACGGGGTGGACATCTTCATGGGAGCCGTGAGCATCGGGATGGATTTTCCGGCAGATACCCTTCCTTTCTCGAGCAGTTTGTGAGTATTTAACGAAAGCAAAACATTTTCCCCCAAAACCAGGAAAATTATCCCCGCCTTCCCCTACAGCTAGCAAAGAACGCACCACCTCGTGTGCCATACCACCAGCTACGGATCTTCCACAGCACTCGCGCAGCAAGGGAGCTCATACCTCTCTCTCTCTCTCTCTCTCTCTCTCAACCACGCACAAAACAGCAGCAGCAGCAGCAGCTCGCGTCATCCACTCGCTCAGACTGCACCGTAGCTCGCTCTGCAGCCATTACAACAAGCAAGCAAGCAAACAAACAAACAAACAAGCACACAAGGGGAATAAAAAAAAGGGCATTGAATCACAACCCCCAAAAGCAAGCACATCTCCCCCTCACCAGCAAGCACATCTTTTCCATCACACGACCCACCCCCTTTCGACCGAGAAAGAAAGAAAGAAAGAGAAGAAAAAAAAGATAGCATATCCCCCTCCCCTCCGAACCCAGTGCGAGAGTTTGAGACGCCGTGGGTCACGATGAAGGAAGGGAGAAGGGAAAAGAGGGAAGCAGAAAAAAAGTGCGACTTTGATTGAGAAGCTTTGAGGCTGGACGGAGCCCGGAGCGGTAGCTTTTGCGATTATTTCAATGGGGGCGCCCGGCCCTTCGGTACGAGTTGCGGTGCCAAGGGGGGGGGGAATAAAGTGCGTTATATTCGTGCAGTGAAAGAGGGAAGGGAGGAAGGAAGGAAGGAAATCTGGTCTTTAACTGTGTGTGTTGTGGATCCATCTTGCTGTTGCTGGTACTCGGCCACCAGGGCACCTTGAGGCTGGGAGAACATCCGTATATCAACCTTTCGACGCCTATCTACCTACCTGCACTTGTTGCTGCGAATACGCACCACCTCATAGCATTGATCCTTGACTGTGTCCCCAACTCCGAACCATTTTCCGTTCTTGAGCAGCGACGAAGCGACAGCAGACTGATTGCGTCTGTGGGGGATTGGAAGTTTTCGAAGTCCGCGCAATGGCGGGACCGACCGATCTGAAGAGATTGTGGAGGAGGTACAGGGAGTACCGGGTGACCAAGAAGCAGAAGTCAAGCCAAGCAAGCTCGGAAAGCTCGAGCCGGGACAGCAAAGAAAGCACGGCGTTGGAGGAAGCAACAATCATGGTCGTTGGCTTGGGATTGGATACAAAGCCGGAAGAAGAGCATATTGAATATGCGCGGGATGACGATCATCGATTCATCAACAACCCACACGGCATCGGCTGCTCCAGAACCTACGAGGTACCTTACGACCTCGCTACCAACTCTCTGCTTTCGACATCGCCAGGATCCATGCGTCCCCGCGTGCCACGAGGGGTCAACGTCGACAAGAGCGACGCGCTGTTTTCGTTTCCTGAGCTGGGAGCTTGGAAGACGGAGAGCATCGACACGGTGAAGGGAAAGAGAAAGGGCAGGATGCCTGGTGATAGCGCAGATGATCGGTACAAGTTCCTGCTCGATGGCCCAGCAACACGGGCAAAGTTTTCCGCGAAGAGCTTTACTATGGTACGCCAGCGGGCTTGGACGTGGTGAGATATGGAGTTTCGACGCACTGGGTTGGTGGTGTGAATGGTGGCTTCAACAAGTAATGATGGTTTTGAGTCTGGCGGTGATTAGGTGACGCCGTATTGGAGCGAGGCGTCTGGCGAATACGGATGATGGGATTCGGTACCTGCTTGTAATCATGAATGGTTAAACTGAAGAATTGAGACCTCTGAGAAGGTCTTTTACCTCGATGCAAGAATTTAGTAGCACTGCTCACTGCGATGGCTGCTCCCTACGTGGGTTTTGTGCCTAGAATCGAGTTCCATGTCGATGCAGTTGACCACGCGGTACATCACTACAGCAAGCTTCCTGTGTCCAATTCCTTGGGGCAGGTCTTAGAGAGGGCGAGAAGCTTTCCCAGTAGCCCCAGGCCTCCTCGAGCTCAGCGTTTCTTCTTTGTCTCCCCCATCCACTCGCGCATAGCATTGGAACTACCATGAGCAGATCGGAACACTACAGCTCAGTCAGCACCATAATTTTTATTCTAGGTAGCCCAAGCACCTACACTGTCTCTCCATCTCATCCAGTCCCCTCAAGAAATCCTGTGCTTCCCCCAATGCTCCTCGCGGATTATGAGCATGGTCTGCAATCTCAGCTGCTCTTTCCTTGAATGTCTGTATCCCACCGCGGCAAGTCAGCCCCAAACAATATTCGCTAACATAATACCCGCACTCGTAGCCTCCCACTCAAACTCCCCCCCGCCCTGGTGGGTCACGGAGTCAATGCACGTACCTCACCCAACACATCCACAATCTCCTCCTCCTCAAACAGTTCCAGCACCCTAGCCGCCAGCTCATAATAATGGCTCGCCAGTTGCCTCAGATCCACAGTCTTCGGTCCCGCTTTCAACGCGGCCAACACCCTTGGCGATATAGAAGCCGGCAAATCGAGCGTACATAATTGTTGAGAAGAGGGGCCGAGACGTTGGACCGCGAGCAGGGTGCTGAGCCAGAGGGGAAGGGAGACGCGGGTGCCGGCTTTGATCTGGGAGTGGAGTGTTAGAGTGGTTAGATAGCTATGCTTTTGGAGTTGAATGGAGAGCTGGAAGGGGGAGAATGGAAGGTTCTGGCGAACGGGGGTGGTAGTACATCTCCACCTGCGTTTTCGTCAAGGTAGCCTAGGCCGGGGATGTCGAGGTCGAAGGTGCAAGGGACTTTTTGGGCATCGGTGAGGATGGCGTCGATGTCGTAGTAGGAGCCCATGCTGTGATCTTTTCAATGGCTGCTCAAGAATGTCAATCTCGATTATCGACCATCAACACGAATGCACTAGCCCTAGCCCTAAAACTAATCGTTTCCACCCCCATTTACACGTTACCCCCATTTGCACGCTCTTAATACCGATAAATCCGACGCAACACCAAAATGCCTACCTTTCACCAAATTTATATGGCAAACTAGCATAATAATGATGGTCTTTTATTTCTATTCAGATTTAAGATCGGAGAACCTAAATCACAGTTTTTTAGGCCTTATCGGTCTACCATATCTTAAAAAAACCGTCACTACCTCTTCTTCTACCTCTTCTACCTCTTCTTCTACTACCTCCTCTTCTACTACCTTCTTACCTCTTTCATCGCTTTCATCTTTTCTATCTTTTCTACCTCTTTCACCTCTTCCACCTCTTCCACCTCTTCCACCTCTTCCACCTCTTTCATCTTTTCCACCTTACTGCGGTAAAGCCTCTGATGAAGCCTCCGATGAAGCCGGTAGAGCCCGCCACTGTGGCGGAGCAGCTCCTCGTCTATCTCGCTGTTATTGCTGTGGTGGAGCGAGATTTAGTGGCATTAGTAGGCCTGATATGGGAGGTGCAGTAGCCTTTTTCTTGACAGGACTTCTACCTCTCTTCGTGTCTTCAAAAATAGCTGGTCCGAGGTGACACCTACTATGCCAGGCTTATAGGCGGCGACTATGGTACCGTAGCATTGGCCATTATGGTAGACTATAGTAGTAGGCCATTTGAATGAGTGGTAGTGGTAGCCATGGTAGTGGTAGCTATCTATGTCGGATTTATCGGATTTAAGAGCGTGCAAATGGGGGTAACGTGCAAATGGGGGTGGAAACGATTACTGTTTATGTCAAATGGGGATGGGAAAGACAGATCATTGCAGTTTGTCCTAACCACGCTTGCAGTATTGGTGCAACACAATGGCACACTGTCACAGTGGATCTACATAGTATTCCATACAACCCCTACTCTGATCAATTAAGTCTAGGTGGGTAGTCGTCTGTCAAAACCTCAGGAATCTCCATACTCGAGGAACAAGACCCAGTCATCATCTTCCTCGTCTTCTCCCGGGTCCAGATTTGGACACCACACGCCTTCATTCTTGATGATGTTGAGACACCACTCAAGACGCCTAACCGTGATCTGGCCATCATTATATACCGACTGAGGGCGTTTCTCTGTAGCTGCCTGCACCGCGTCGAGGTATGACCTGGCGATGAAGGCAGAATCCAATTCAGCATCGCCGTTTGCACTACGGACGGGGTCAAACCACTCAGGTCTCTCCTCAAGGACAGTGTTTTCAGGTCTTTGGTGGTTAACAGATTCCTCTGATGGCTCAGCATAATTTTGTTTCAAGAAGTGAAGCCATCGAAGGTACTTCGGGTCGATTTCGTCTTCTCCCCTTGGGTCAGATCGAGAATAAATCCACAACCCGCATAGCCAGATAGTGAACGCAAAATCGACGCCTCCACGTTCTCGAATCTTTGTGGGGTCACGAGTCCTGATGCCTGCATTCAACACGCCACGTAAGTCTTTCAACAAGCTCTTTGGCGAGTTCGTGAGGATGTGCTCCAGTCGTATTACTCTAGGGTCACTGGCCTCGGACGAGTTTGGAGTAGCGACTGACTTCAAGAACTTACCCATGGAGTCCACGACACTATCAAGGATTCTGAGCTGACTGTCGCGGTATCTTGCCGCATCCACTTGTTTGTTGTTCTGCGGAATTTCAGGCAAGTCCTTTTCATGTTCTCGTATTGCTCTTTGCCCTTTCTGCAGTATCATGATGACGGCACAAATCACATGGAGCTTATTTCGCGAGAAGTCACGATCCGAAAGATGCGTGTTAGACGCTGAGCAGTCATCATCAGCCATGTGTGCTTCCCGAGAATTCTCGACCGCAATCGAGAAGTATTCTAAGAATTGTGGCGAGAATTCGTAGTTTCCATTATCGAGGAGTCGTACCCAGTGGATGTTTTGTTCTAGAATTTCCTCCAGATTGAAGTCTTCTAATAATTCTAGGACCTGGCTTCCACTCCTGACTGGCTCGCTAACCAGCTTTGGTTGAATTTTATCAAATTCCATTGTGCTCTGACTCTGCACTGCGTCCGAGGTTGGCTTGCGGGCCAATCGGCGAGCCTTTGTAGCTTTAATATAAGCTGCAATTGCTGGCGAAAAGCCAAGGCTGTAATGATCAGAGGTATTCTTAGGAAGACTAAAGCCATATCCCATTATGACTATAACATTGTCCGTCAGCAGGGTCTCAAGACGGCGAAAGGGCCAACCGGAACCCACGTTCTTCGTTACTTTTGGGATCATAATTGTTCCACACTTGACATCCACCAGACGTTGACTCGTCTACCCTGAGCGCGCAGACATTTGCATCCCAGATCCAGGAGACTTTGGCAGATGGGTTATGATTCAAAAGGTCTAAGCCTGGGATGAGGACCGGACATCTACCAACGCTGTCACCAGCAACAACGAACTCGCCTTCGTTTCGATTGAACGACGCTGGCCCAGAAAAGCTTCGCGTAGTCATCACGGTGGCCGCCCATAGATAGAGCTCCCTTCTCAAATTAGTATTGTAATCATGAACAAGACGCAAAGACCATTAATCACGGACCAAGTCCACAGACGCTTCTGCTCAGAATCGGACCCATTGGCAAACAGTGACTGCATTGCACTTTCGTATTCTTGCCGCCAAGCCTCTTCCCTTAATTCCTTTGCCTTTCCCAGGTTGGTTCCTCGAAGCCATATCAGGTCGTTGTCATCGTACCACAAAGGAGTGCTGAATGATCGAGGCAGACTGTTGAGGTACGGCCACCACGGGGACTGTTCTTTCAACAAACACTGTTTCATTAGGAACAATCGAGTGGCAATGTGTGGTGTAAACGTAGAATGGACATGTGGGAAATGATGTTGAGTGACACCCAGCCACGATATAGTCAACTCGTGTGGGCAGGAGACAACCATACTGCCTGACAAAAGGACGTGGCCCTGTTTAACACGAACGGAATTGCCATCATCACCAGACGCAATCTCAACAGAAGGATGTAGATAGCCTCCGTTGATAAGAAGCCAGGACTCGAGGTCCTCATCAACAGGACTCGTCTCGATCTTTGCTGTGGAGAAATCACAGTAATCGGAGGCAGTGAGCCAAACTCTGAAATCTGTACCCATGACCCGCCAGCCAACTTATTCGTTTTCCATGACATTCGCTCCCCAAAGCACGTTTGAATACATAGCCATGCCTCGGCAGGCTTCGACAGTCGTCATGAGATAGGACTGATGAATTGCTGGTACAGGATGACGCATCTTCATCATGACTTGTAGAAGCAATTGATAAAGTATCGAAGTTTGCTTGCCAAGGGAGGAGCAATGAATGGACGCTACCAATCATGCCGCCGATATCGTACCTGTAGGGCTGAGAAACAAGCCCACAGAGACGAACTCGCCATTTTCCTTTCCCTTTTTCACTCCTCCTCCAACACATATAATGAATTGAATTTGAGCAAAGAGAATCATTCCAACATGCTTTCTATAACCGCCATAGTCGCCCTCTGTATCGTTCCCTATGTAATCTACAAGTACATCATCTACCCCGCCTTCATCTCCCCCCTCTCCAAAATCCCCAACGCACATTCCTCCTCCCCCTTCTCACCCCTCTGGATCCTCATAAAACGATTTCGAGACGAAGAAAACCGCAGCATCCACGCCGCCCACGTCAAACATGGCGACATTGTCCGACTCGGGCCTAATGAAATCAGCGTTAACTGCGTGGACGATGGCATCCGCACGATCTATAGTGGTGGGTTTGAGAAATGGCGGTGGTATAACCAATTCGATAACTTTGGGTAACAAAAATCTCTCCCCGTAATTCAATTAGAACTGTCCTTGCTGAGCTCCTCAAAGCGTCCCATGTATGTTCTCCACCGCCGAAAGCAAACCGCACTCCCATCGCAGACGTGTAATCGCCAACGTGTACTCGAAATCCTACCTTCAATCCTCACCAGAGATGCACAAGATTTCCCAAACAATGATCTTCTCCCGCATCTTACCAGTCCTGGAGTCCGCTGCCATCGAACAGAAACCCGTCGAAGTGCTCGACTTGAGCCATGCAAGCACCATGGACTTCATCACCGCCTTCATGTTCGGCCTACAGAACGGATCCAACCTGACGCAAGACGTCTCTGCCAGAACAGAATTTCTCGATACCTATCGAAGACGGCGCCCCTACCGTTTCTGGTCCAGCGAGCTGCCGGGCTTGAAATCTGTATTGAACAAATTGGGCCCCATCATAGAGCCCAAATTCGTGCAAGAAGCCACCAATTATATCGAAAACTGGACTCTCACTTTTACAAAAGCAGCTGAGAAATCCAGCACAACCAAAATCCCGGACGAGGAGAACATTCCAACCACGACCCCAGTAGTATACAACCAAGTGCACCAATCCACCCTCAAGAGCCCATTCCCCTACCCGCAAGAACTGCAAATTGCCACTGAGCTCCAGGACCACTTGGCCGCCGGGCACGAAACGAGCGGGATAACGCTGTGCTACCTATTCCACGAACTCTCAATGCAGCCCAAGCTTCAGGAGCAACTCCGAGAGGAATTCCTAACCCTCTCTCCCACCTTGGAATACCCTTCATCCGTCTCAACTCCCGAACTGCCTTCGCCACAAAGCCTGGACGCCCTCCCTCTCCTCCACGCCTGCCTCATGGAAACCCTACGCATCCACGCTGCAATACCCGGCCCGGAACCACGCATCACGCCCTCCAAACCCACCTCGCTAGCCGGCTCCCCACCCTTACCCCCCGGCGTGCGCGTCAGTTCGCAACCCTACACGCTCCACCGCCGCGCGGACGTCTTCCCGGACCCGGAAGCCTGGAAGCCCGAACGCTGGCTCGAAGCCAGCGAGGAGCAGAAGGCGGAGATGGGACGGTGGTTCTGGGCGTTCGGGAGTGGGGGGAGGATGTGCATCGGGAGCAATTTCGCTATGCAAGGTATGATCCTCTCCAGACGCGCGACGTGCGGGAGAGATAAGAGGATTCCGGTGCTGACGTTTGAGCAGAGATGAAACTGATAACGGCTGCCATCTATACGAATTACAGGACGCACATCATTGATGACGAGGGCATCGAGCAAGTAGATGCGTACACCGCTCATCCGAGAGCTAACCAGCTGATTTTGGGATTTGAGCGCGTGGAGAAGTAGCTTCTGCAGCTATCTTGGTCTTGCCTGGGGCAGATGCATCGGACGAATTTCACGACGTGGACGAAATCACGCTGTTCTGTTTCATATAAATACTTTGGATTGAAATGAGAATGGAGAAATGCTATCATCTGCACATCGCTATGCTCTCCGCTGTACATTTTCGCATGCGACATAGTACCATTCATAGACGTCATGGCATCGTTCAAACACCTTACTCCTCTCATAAACAATAAAAACGCCTTCCTTTATCCATCCTCCGACATGACAAGACCTCCCTCTCATAGCCCATTCTCCCTGCCTCAAAACCATGACACCGTTATGTTGTAGACCTGGACCGAGCTTCTGACCCGAGCGTAAATAAACGACGAGATCTAGAATGTTTGCGGTATGCAAGATGTATGCATAAGGCGTCGTAGAGTGAAGAAGGGAGCATGACTCAGATACAAGGAGCGTGAAGATCATGGAGTGCTCCGAGGGATGAGTTGAACGGGTATGCCGCCCTCGCCGTTGGGATATCATTAACCGATGCGCCGGTGCACCAATACTATGATAATGGCAAGAGGCCGACGATAGTTGCTAATAGAGACGAAATGTGGTAGTGCTGAGGCCTGAATGTATGCCTGAGCGCCACATGAACGCCGAAAGAAAAGTTGATGTTCAGCCAGTCGATGTAAGCTGGGACCACCAGGTGGAATGCTGACAGGGTGATAGCATTGCATCGTACATCCGCCACGGGGAGTGTATTAGCAGGCGCATGAAGCGGGGTTGGATCGAACTAGTGTTCTAGAACCGTTCTCATAGTGAAGGCTTGTACAAGAAGAGTCTCAATTCTGTTGCCATTGCAACTCGAAGTCAGGTGCGGGACCTTCAAGGATCTGTCGTTCGTTCTGGGTAGCCCAATCTTCAATAGCGAGATGGACATCTTCGTCGGTCTCGATTCTAACCATATCGCCATCCGAGTCTTCATATCGCAGCCGAGCAGTTTTCTTGGCGATGGATGCTGCTGTTACCTTAGCCATCTTCGAATCGATTCGGTCGGTCAGGGAGCGGTGTTTGATGAATGTAGGAACGACGATGGTCACATGGCTTGGTTCTGGATCGAACCTGACCCTGACTTTCAACTGATTCGGATAGTCCATGATACTGTTGGCCGACGAAGAAGTCTCGGTATTTTGAGGAGTGAGCTGGGTCGGCTCTTCAGCATAGTGGCCATGATGATAGTCACGGGTTTCGCTCTCGAAGCTCTGCTGCAGTCTCTGTCCTTGACGATCATAGCCGATTGGTTCTTGATACTGTCGATGAGCTCGATCCCGGTGTACCGAAGGGGACTGGGTTGCACTTCGAATGGGCAACTGGCTTTCGACTGGTGAGCTTGTTTGGCTCCGATTGAGGGGAGCTCGACCTTGGACCATATGCGAGGGAATTGGAGGCATTGGAACGTTTTCCGCTTGAGTTGGAAGGTGGCTAGCACCTTGACGTCTGGCTCCAGGGGCATTCAGATTGTGAATGTCAGGAGTACTAGCGGAGCGAAGACGGCTCTGCTGAGGGTTTTGGGATGCTGCCATGACAGGCAAGGATGGCCGGGTGACTGTTCGACCGTTAACAACATAGCTGTTCGGTGGAGCCGGTCCCTCTCGAGAAGGTGCGCGACCCATCGCTGGAGCTGTACGATGCTTATTTTCTTCGTGCGGCCAATGACCAGCAACTGTTTGTTGGCGAGTGAACTGAGAAAAGCTTTGCTGAGAGGTTGAGCGTGTGGATGTTGGTGAGTCATTGGTTGGCGAAAAGTAAGAGTTTCCTGGGAATTCCCCTGGTGAAGCAGCTGTACCAGGGGGAACGTTTGTATTCAGGCTCAAGGGAGGCGCATACATCCCGTTGCCATGCTCTGCGAGTGGAAATTTAGGAGGAGCCATGCGAGTGGGTCCGGCTATTGAGCGCAGACTATTGCTTGATGGATTCCGACTCACGGTGAAGGAAGATTGGGTGGGGCCAACGATTTGACTGATAATCTCCTCCTCTTCCATATCCTCATCCTCTTGATATGGGTTCTTAGAAAGCACTTGGTCTTTCATATAGTTAAACTCTGTTGCTGAAGTGCCAGTTTGACCGGAATTCCTTGCCTGGTCACAAAGACTCTTCTTCTGTGCCTGCACTGTGTCCCGCCACTTGATCATTTGCGCCTCATCGGGGAACCGAATGACAAAGTTTTCAACACCAGGATCGCCTTTCCAGAAGATTTGGAGAGTATATTGACCTTGATCTACATTAGTGTCAGCGGTTGTTATTTCAAAGAAAACATTTTCTCTTGTACTATGCTTACTCAAGGTCACAACGTCCGTGACATTCTGCATGAATATCCGACCTTTCAACTGAAGCTTTAGCTTTCCCTTCCTGTCGACCAAAGGTTGCTTTCCTGCCAGCATTTTATTCTTGGGCTTGTTCGGGTTGATTTCTTTGCAACATAGCAGGATGCGTTCGAAGAGGTAGACTTTGTACTGTTCACGCACGAGCGATTCAATCGCCAAATCGTCAGCAACTTGTTTCTCTAAATCTGACATCGGCTTAATTCCCAACACGGGTTCAGCAGTAGCAGTAGCAGTAGCAGCAGCAGCACGAGCAGCTAGAGATAAGATTGGGTCTGGCAATTGCGAGTTGGAAAACAAGAAAAGCGTTGTGTTCTTAAAAGCGCCATCGAGCTTGTACAAGTGCCTTGCTTCACGTATGGACTTAAGCAGCAGAAATTGCAGAGGGGTAAGTGCTTTGGGGGGATAAGCCTTGGAGGCCTTTGTGTGGAAAGGTGTGTTATGAGACCAGTCCATGATTCTCCGATATGCGTCGTCCGTTGAGGACTCCGAGGTTGGAGCTCTGTTCATGCCTTCTGATGTGGCAAGCTCAGGCTCTGTACCAATCTTTAAAATCTGGAGAGCGTTTTGAAAAATTTCAATTGCCTGCTCCTCAGGGGGTTTCGTCTTCATGGGAGGCTCGGCGTCGGAGCTGATTCTAGAAGGCGGTGTTCCAAGCATCCCACGGGTGGGACCTTTACGACGCTTGAAATGAAAGCGAAACGGGCTCCACGAAGGGGGCTCCACGGGTATCTGGGAAGGTGCTTGGGAAAGTATTTGGGGACATGCAGGGGGTGTCTTTCTGCGCAAAAGGAACATGGATCTCCTCGGAGGGGTCTTCGGCGTCACGGGAACAGGACGATGTTCCTCGACCGAATGCTCAGGGACACTTGCAAGGTCGCTGACATGTTTCCCACGCGGGTTGCGGTTCAAAAATTGCAATGCGGACGTCCATGACCGTGGGCGTGGGGGCTTTGAGGTTCCACGATGCAGGGAGCGCATAAACAGGGAGAAAACCATTGCTCGCGTGACTGGATCCAGGGAATCGAATATGACACTAACCTCGCGCTCCACCACTTTCGCGCCCTCTCCCTTCAAAACCGTGTAATTGCCGAAATGTAGGAGTTCGCCGAAATGATTAATCTTGTGGCCTTTCCAGTCTTCAACCCTACTCTGCAACTCGTTGACAGCGGCAGCATGGTGTTCCTTTTGGACAGCCTCGTCCGCTCGGGTCATAATGGATCTGGCTGCTGCTTCACCTTCTTCGAGATCCTCTTGTTTTTCAAGGTCGAGGCCGCCTTTTGTGCGCAATTCCTATGCAACATTTAGTACAATATCCTGACTTCAAAGCGATGGGTGATGGTACAGCGAGCAACAAGGGGTACTTCGATAGGCGCTGGAAAGGTTTGATTAGGAAACTGAGGAGCACTGATGGTGTCTCAACGATGCCCCTCAACTCGTTTGATAGATCAGCTTTCTTGAGCTTTGGCCATACGCTGAGTACGGTCTCATTGCAACGATTTTGATTGGCGATAAATGGTTCGTACACTCGGAATGATTCTCTGTAGTAGGAGAACAGTTTGCCCCAGTTCTGTTCGCTCTCAGACAAGCGGTTTTGTTGTTCAATTCTGACCAAGAATCTTCTCTGGAAATCCAGTAATTGATTGAGGTTCAAAAATATGTCGTGAATTGCATCACCTGCGATGCCGCCAGTGACTTGTCTCTTAAACTCTTGAAGTATTTCAAGATGTTGGATATAATTGCGTTCAGTCATGAGGAGCTCTTCGATGACATGCGCTTTGTAAGAGGTAGGAGCGGATTCCGCAACTGCAGCCTTGGTGGGTTGTTCGTTGTGCCGCAAAAACCCCCGTGTATCCAGGATGTCCAAGACCCTGTTCACAAGCTTCGTCACCTGAAGATGATGTCAGTGATCAGTCTCCAACCGTAGACACCAATTACAATTCTCCTTCATCAAAAAAGCGTTGGTTTGCAGACGGCAACTGAACGAAAGGAATATCAAAACTCACCTTCACAAATCCAGTGGTATCTTCCCCAAATAAGTCAGTGATGAGAAAGCACTCGTGGGGAGGGATCTTGAGATCTGTCATGCAAGCTTGCAGGAATTTGAACGTCGTTGCTTTTCCGACCTTATCTTCGCGAATTTTTGTTGCATCAAATTTGAGTGGTCTTTCTGGCGATGACGCGTTGTATATAGTCATGAGCGGATAGCCACGCCTCAAACAATTCCACATCAAGGTGACTGGATCTTTTGGCTCATCGGCCGAATCCTCTTCTTCTTCCTCCATCTCTATTATGTGATCTTCGAATCCAGGGACATCTCCTAGCCGCTGCCGCAGACCCGTGCAGATTTGATACAACGAGCTGTTAGCGCCAGCTTTGATATTCATGATATTCGAGCCCATTTTAGGAAACACGTCTGGGGGAGGTGGCGAGAAGGTTGAGGGTACTGCGGCAGGGAAAAGGCCTCTCTGATCTGAATTGAAGTCAGTATCTGTTGTAAAGCGAGAGTTCCACAGGGTATTGTGAGATGGCATACCAGAAGACGCAGAAAGCGTCGAGCTTCCGTTCATGTGTCCCCGCGCCTGTAATGAGGCCATGTTGTTTTGAACCAAGGGATTCTGAGCGAGCGCTGTTGCCAGCATGCCGCGTGTTGCTCTGTTTAGTCTTCGATTGCTCAAGTCCCAAAGAGCGATACGCCGATAGAGTCGGAGTGCTTTATCCCTTCAGAGTCTGCGCGAAGTGCATATTTCTCTATTGAGAACCCTGGCGGAGAAAGGGATCTGGCGAGGGAAGTGTGTGATGGGACGCTGAAGAAGTATGGTAAGCAAGAATTATGCTGAACGGATTGGCAGAAAATCTGGGCAAATGGCTTACTTTGAGGCTCGAGTCACTGCTGGCAAGGGGGAGTGATCTGAGGTCCCTCAGCAAAGCTTCCAAGGAATGCAGGGAGTCACAGTACCTTGCGGAATGGTCTATCAATGACTTCGACTTGCTTCTGTGGTACTGGGCTGGTAAAGAATGCAGAGGGCCACTATGCAGCAACTTTGACCTGCTCGGTGAATGTGCGTCGGAATCTTGAGGAGTCGGCTTGGGTTCAGCGGGGTGTAGAAGCCATGCTGTCCTGCTCAAGAGTAGAATATTTACGCTCGAAGATTCACAATCATGGACAGAGTCTGCCGAAGTGAGAGGGTTAGGGTGTGTGTTTGAGGTGAGTGTTTGGGCTCAATGCACCAGTGGGGTTGGCTTGAAGTTCCACCTTTTTCACTGCCAAGCCGCTAAACGATGTTGGGAATGGTGCATTGTTGGACAGCAGAAATCTGGACCTCCAAAATTGGTGGCACGAGTGGCGGACTTCCCAGTGAAGATCAGACCTCCACCGGCTGGTGGGACACCCCATATCATATCTCATATCCATGGCACCTGACAGGATTTAAGATGATACCTCCAGACCTGACCGGCGTATTTTATATGCTGCTATTTGCTGACCTTCTGATGCCTTAAATCTTCCTTGCCCCTGACCTCTGAGACGAGGGCGCTCAACCGTTGACCGTGCCGTGATTGAAATGAGCAAGAAGCTGGGAGTTCTTCAAGCTATAACATCGGCCTGAAATTCACGTGGACTGTGGTTTGAGCGTCTCCGATGGACATCAAGGCGGAAAGTCAAGATCTGGGACTCGACAGACAATGCAGGCCTGAGCTTGGGCCTTGGTTGAAGTGGGCAACATAACCCAGAGTGTATCAGGGGCGACCAGAGAAGCCTGAAATAGGGAAACCAAGTCGGACAGGAATCCAATCTTATATTATGACGCCGAGAAAGCTGTGGACATATGCAGAGAGCTGCGGTGGCTGCACCATGGTGTCGAGGGCCACAGAGAGCATGTTCAACTGCCGTAGAGAAATTTGAGCCTTCTTGAATTCCTTTTCGTAGTGCAGTGGTTCTTGCAGGATAGGTACAGCTGCGTCTCTCCAAGGTCTTTAGAGCGGAACACGTTTGTACATGTCATGACTGTCTTGCATGAAGGCTAGCAAGCATAGCCGGCAAAAAGGATGCCTCGCAAAGAAATGGAAAGCATGTGGTAACTATGCGGAGAACGCTAGTTGTATACAGGAGCTTTTAATGCTCCTTGAACTGACAAGGATCTGTTTCATCGGGCAGTGACGGGCAGTGACGAGCGGAGACGAAGCTTCCAACATGGATTGCTGAGCACATTAAGTGAATAGTATATACATCGCAAATATCTCACAGGCATTAGATAGACAAAAGCTCTCCTTGGGATATCAGATTGTAGCTGCAGAGAAAATGCTTGAACCTTCCAAAGCACCCTTGACCGCTTTGATTCTACCTACTTGCTCCCGCTCAGCTGCCCACGGTGGATTGCCCAAGCCGCAGAATAAGATCCCAAATTCCAGAATCATCATTGAGGAGCAGCAAAGAATCTACTGCTCTCAATAATTTGCTCATCTCCATTCGCAAAATCCCACCCAACGATTTTCGGATCCTGAGAGCAACAAATAATCCTTCTAGCATCGAATTGCAGCTTGAAAACTCTAGCATTAGGTTGCCCAACTTGTGCAGCATTTGGGATTGGTGGGCCAGGCCGTGGCACGTGATGGGGATGGAGCGGTGGAGGTGCTGATGCTGGTAGAGTGGGTGCAGGATTCGGCGCATTTCCTGCTTGACCAGCATTCTGAGGAGCATTCAATGGTCCCCCAGCGGAAAGACCAGGTATGTTAGCCTGCTGCTGAGCTCGCAAAAGCCGCCGTGCGTAAGCACTGTTGGTCCAAGGGGTTTGCGTCGGGTTCTGGGGCTGATTCGGGTTCGGAGGCTGTTGGTGAGTGGACGAACCTTGTTGTGAAGTTGCAGCAGCAGCTTGCACGATTTGTTGAGCTATCTGATGCGCCGGGAGAGGACCTTGGACACCGGCGGCCTGAAGAGGATGCTGTCGTGGTGGCGCTTGATGAGTTTGAGAGTTTGGTGCATGATTTGGGAGATGGAGTGGATTTGATGGTGCCTGCGCTTGTGCTTGAGCTTGGACGTCCGATCGAGGAATGAGTGGAGGGCCGGCAGCTCGAAGTGCGTCGTCTTGACGTAGCCTCTGCCCAATCACCCATTCATCATCATCTGTCTTCTTCCATATGATGATAGTCTCATCGTAGGAACCCGATACTATACGGCCCCATCGACTTCCGCCACCGCTCGGAGGTATCTTTGCTCCAACACTCTTGATATCTTTAGGCTTCCGTGATCCAGGATTTCCTTGACGTCGCCGCTCAGAGCTAGGAGGAATCAATCCCGCAATACTGGCTGCCTGCCACTGGCGTTGGACTTCCATCGCTTCGGATTCGAGCCTTTCCCTCCCTCCAGGGTGGTCCGCGAATGCCGCTTGAATCGTACGTACAAGCCTCGTGTGGCCATCTAGACGAGCGACTTCGGTCTTGGAGGCTGGATCCCAAATCCGAATCGTGTTGTCGCTGCTCCCACTTACGATCCTTTTCCCATCGTACTGGACGCAAGCTATTCCTTTCGCGTGGGCTTCGACCTTCGCGGAACATTCTCCACTGTGTATGTTCCAGACTCTGAGATTACGGTCTCCAGATGCTGAAACTAATTGGTCCCTGTAAATTTGAATGGCGTTGACAGCAGCTCCATGAAGATCAAGCGTCATCAGGTGAGTATAAGGTTCAAGCAGATGATTTTGAAAATCCACATCGGGTCGTCCATTGCGCAGTGTGCTCGCAATAGCGTTCATGTCAAGGATATAGGAAGGGCAGTGGCCACCACCTGGAGCTCCTTTGACCGGGTAGTCTTTATCCCCAGGCCGTAGCTCCTGTCGATTCCATATCTTGATAGTCTTGTCCTTCGAACATGTCACAAGAAATCGCTTGTCGAACTTCAAATTCAACACCGACTCTCTGTGAGCATTAGTGAGTTGCTTTATCATTTCGCCCGTCGAGAAACGCCAAAGAATGACGTGCGTATCACTACTGCCAGAGATTATGATGTCCTCTTCCTTTCGGTCATCAAACTGCAAGCACAGGACCGAGCCAGTATGGCCTTCTAGCGGCTTCCTGATAAGACGCTGTGCATCTATGTCCCAGATCCGCAGCGTGCGGTCACGACTTCCACTCACTAAATGCTTCCCGTAATATTGTATCGTGTAAACGCACTCGGTGTGAGCATCCTCTGGGTGATCCCGATGAGGTAGCTGAAAACTTTGGAATTGCCCATTGTTCCAATTATCTTCAAGCTTCCGCTTTTGCTTGAAGACGTGATGATAATTCAGACGTGATTGGCCTGGAGAAGCATATAACATAAGAGATTGCGCGAGATGATGTTTTCCAGGAATTGAGTTTTTCTGACCCTCTATCGTTTCAGGCGCTTCCTTCTTGATTTCATTCCAAGGCTGTTTTCCCTGTGCCTTTGAGGGATCCACCTGCCCAAAGGCCTCGGCCGGCTCAATACGAGACCGTTCAGGGGACGCCGAACCGACGTCCACCATCTCGGCATCATCTCCAGGCTCCTGATTGACCTGACCGTTGTCCTGTTGAGTATTCTGAGAAGTTTGGCGTGTTGGTCGGGAAACCCTAGGCAGAGCTTTATACAGTTTTTGCGCGCTTTTTTCCTCGGTCCTTGTAGTCGGCGAACGTGACCCCACTGCCCTCTGGTTATAATTGTTTTCAAAGTGCTCAATCTCATCCATTCTCAAGCCCCACCCTTCAGTCTTGAACTTGTGCTTCCAGAGTCCACTATCGAGCACTCTTTCTCTCCAGGCTCGAGAAACCCTAGATGCTTCCAGCAACAATGGGGGATCTAGGCAAGCAAAGATCTGCGACATGATCTCCGCAGGAAAGATGGTGATCGGATCTTTGTGGAAGAGGGGCCATAACCGATCAACGACGGAGGCTATGGAGGAGACTCTGAGGGTACGTAGCATGTTATAAACAAATTCTACGCATGTTAGTAAGGTCTGCTATAAGCCGTAACATTGTTGGGAAAAGCTGGTATTGCTTACCACTCTTCTCCCCTTCGCTGAGAGCCATCACAGCGTCAAAAGCTGTCTGTGTTGGCAGCATATCGTCTCCTTCTGGCTCCATTCTCATTGGGGAATCAGGGTCATCTTGACTTCTTGTATCCTCGGAGTAGCCTTCATCAACTTTGTAGGAGGAATCCATCTTAGTAGAGACCATAGGAGGGTAGGCTCGCGTTCGATAGCCTTCCATCGCGATTGAGATAGTCTCAGGCTACTGTAGGAATGACTCAAGTCCTCACGGCGACTTTACGTTTAATGTTCGATGAAGACTGCAGCCGTCCTTCTTTCGTAGGATTGAGTATCATTATTTCTTGGCGCTCACTCTGTGCGTAACAACGCAAATAGACCGACGCGTCGAGAATTGAACTAGGAGAGCCATGAGAAGGTATGCGGTCTGGCTCTCGAACGTTGTTTGGTTTCTCCAAGCCCCAGCCCTTGGGCGTTTACTGGGGACCTGTAAGGCTGACGCCATATCCGCTAGTGGTCGCTTAGCTAGCGCTCCCACCAAGGAACATCTAGTCGAACACCTAAAAGTAATCTACGCAGCAAATCTTCACGCTCACTAT